CCAGGCCTCTCTTCATGGGCAGCTAACAGAGATGTAGTCACACCTGTTCTCTAAAGCAGCACCCTGACAAACTGTCCCAATATGGATCTGAGTGTACCATAGAGATAAAAAAGGAACAATATATTTATGTTACACCAAATAATGTTGATTGACTTTTACTTTGTCTTTTTGAGGTGTATGTTCTTGAATAGACGGGTCTGATGTAACTTTTTTATCTCATCAAGAATATACATTATGTTTCCTGTTTGTGTTTCCTCAGATGAAGCTGAAGGTCATGTAGATTATGAGGACAAACTGATAGATTCCTATGGAGAGGTGGAGCACCACAGTGAGAGACCCGAGGATGCTCATGGCCAAGTTTATGAGGAGGAACATGAAGCTGCATACCCGGAAAGTAACATGAGTCAGAAGCAGCAAGAAACAAGCTTCAGTGTCGAAGGAGAGGAGAAGCATGGAGAACATAAAGTGAGAGAACAGGTGAATGGCAGAAAATCTGCAGGAACTGTAGAAAGAGGAGAGAAAGGTGAGCATGAAGCTGTTGAGGACTTTACAGGTCGTCCAAGGTGGGAGCAAGAGAGGAGAGAAATGGTCAGGACCAGTGCAGCTGCAGTGACAGAAGCACCTGTCTCTCTACTCTCCCAGAAACACATGTTCTGGTTCCCCTCTGAGACCTTCCAGGAGGGGGGACATCCTGTCTCAAGCAATCCTGTCACAGAGACTACTCAGAGAGTCTCAGGTACCCAGTCAGAAGAGAGCAAGGAACAGGAGAACCAAGAAAGGCACCACCACCAGCATCCTGTTGATGTTGACGACCACGACCATGACAGCTATGATGATCATGATACCCGTGACCGACATGATCATGACGACAGCCGCCACGACAATATAGATGACCATGACAGTCACCAGGATGAAGATGACCATGATGATCATGTGGAACATTACATTCCAGCTCAGCATGATGATCTGAATAGACGAGACTACCACCAGAAACATGCCAGTGATCATGATGACCATTATGACATGGGTGAACGTGAAGATGATGGTGTCCGCCTTAGCAGCCAGGAGTACGACAATCGAGATGTTACTTATGATAAACACGAAAGCTACGAGGATCATAAGGATGTGACCGATGATCGTGGAGACGATGATCGAGAACTTCCTCATGGTTCTGAGGAACATCCAGATCATGACAACCATGATGACGGTGAGGAGCATTTTGACCTGGACGAGGACAAGCATGACCATCACACTGATGATCACAATAGTCACTATGACCATGACCGCTACGATGATCATGACAGCCACAAAGATGACAACAATGGTCATCAACGCGCAACCTTTTCTGTAGCAACAGATGAACATACAAACGTCACCCAAAAGGCAGCAGGGGGAAAGGCCACCACAGATGAGACGTGGCTGGATGGATACCCTGTCATTCCAGAAGAGGCAGACTCTACAACAGAAAGAGTGGGACCACAGGACAGAGAGAGGGGGAAAGTTGTCAGGACAACAAATGGGCCCAGTGAGGGAGACATTCATAGACCAATATTTTACACCAGCCTACCGGAGCAGCCGGAGTCTTTCACCACAGAGCCTGAATTAGAACATGTGGGAGAGGAAGAGGTTTGGCCTGGCTTTACTGCCACTGCTACTCCCTCCACTGACCATCCAGAGCCCTCAGACTTCCCTTCAAACTCTGATACTCTGGACTATGACACACAACAAGCAGCTCCCACCCACTCCTGGCTGGGAGACCTCACTGAACACCCCTTCCTCAATCACGGTCCAGTTCCTACCGTACACGATAACAACATCCTCCCAGGAGTAATGGGCGAGCACACTGTGCACGACCTGACTGGTGAGACTGGTGAGAGGAGCGAAATGGAAGGTGAGAAAGGGAAGACGATCTGTACAGGGGGGAACTGCCCTCCACATCCTCCAAGTTCCTCCAGCCAAGTTCCCACGGTGGCAGCCATAATTGTGGTGGTGTGTGCTGTCGCTGCAGCAATCATCGTTGGAGTGTGGTGTTACCGACGGCAACAGCAGAAGAGTTCAATATATGAGATGAACGGGAAGGGCCAAAGTCAGAGCAGACAAGGCCAACAGATAGAAATGCAACAAAAAGTGTAAGACAGAGACAGAAGAAGATGAATGGACACCGACTGGGCAGAGACATTTAGGAAGGATGACAGGATTCTGATGAATTCAGCCCCTGATCTCACTAGAAACCACTGCATATTGGATGAATATGGACAAACACAAGTTGTGTTACAGCCCTGTTTTAAAGAGCAAACCCTTATCTATATGATACACAAATGGTTAACATAGTGAAACTTGAGTGAAACAAGATGGTTGGAGTTTTATGGCTCTCCCACTTGTTGATTCTAAGGAAATGTGCCTATCTTTGTTAAACCTGTTTATTATAGTCAACGCTGTGGCATCTAGCTAGGCAGGTGGATGAGCTGTGCCTGGACTGGCCACACCTCCGGGAACTGAGAAGGGAGATTATAAGGAAATGACCATGTTGGAAAACCATTAGATATGCCTGCCTGCCTTAATATATGAACTTAGACCACAGCCTCCAAAACTCTTGGAAGTTGTGGTAAAGAGTCTGCGTGTTACTTTGCTGTTGTTTTTATTGACTTTATTTAGTGCCCTGTTATTGATGTGTATTGTTCTGTTCTTCTTTTCTGTTTATCATTTATAAAAAACTGTATCCCACTTCTTACACAACAAGAGAGCTAAAGATCAAGGCACTACAGATCTTCACTACAGACGTGGGCAAGAAGTCCTAAATGAACTCCCCCAGCATCTGTCAGACCAGCATGCGCGACGGAAAAAAGATGATGATGATGATGGTTAGAACAGATGAAAGAGTGAAATGTGAAGTGAGAAGGGAAAGGGAGGAAAAAGGAGGATGGGAAAAGGTGCGAGTATGACGTAGGAAATGCTTTAAGGCTTTCCTGCCCCCGTCGGTTTCGACAGTCGGCTGTGGAGAGACACAGACACTGTGTCCAATCTTCATACTCAGCCCCGCTGGTGTGTGTGTGTAGAAAGAATTTATGTGTGTGTCTGTGTCTCAGGTCTGTGCAGTCTGTTGTTGGTCAGCAGTATGTTATGTTTGAAGTTTGAAACGGAGGCTGACGGCACCCAGACCGACTGGAGATGGAACATTTGGGTGCTGCCATGGCAACAGACAGAAACTTAAATCACAGGCTGAAAATATTCTGAATGCTAATGATATTTTATTGTTATGACAAATCATTACATTTCAGCTCTATGTTGATAAATGTAATTCTAAATATTCATAGTTTGGTTAATGGTATTTACCTATTGGTGTTCTGCTTTGTTTGTTCTGATAATTTACGGTGTGAACTTGACTGTCAGATCAATTACTGATTTAATGTCTTGTTAAATACCGATTGAAGGTGATAGAATTATTTTAAATATGTTGGAACATTTGTGATATCAGTAATTTTAGCCTGGTAATAAGTTCATAACATCTGTAGTTTCATAAATTTGGTTTTTTGTCCAGCTCAGATTTTTTCCAGTGTGCTCTGTATGATTCTGTGATATTTAAACTTTTGCTGTATTTGCTGCCAAATACTTGAGAGCAAGGTGAAATGTTAAAAAAGGCTAACTCATTTAAAAAAATGTAAATAAAGTCAAATAGCCATAAGAGGGTTTAATCATAGATATTAGAGTTTGTAATTCTAGTGATGTATAAAGATTGTATGGCAATAACTTAAATAGAAAATGCTTCAACTATAGCTGTCAACAGTGAGTGGTGACTAGTAGACAAGGCACTTTATGGTGCCATCACACATGAGTGTTAATTACATTTTCTCATATATTTCAACAGTGTTCTGCTTGCTTATAAAAAAGTATTTTTATAGTGTTATTTTTAATGTGGCTATGAAATAAGAATGAGTTGGATTTGGATGTGTTAAATATCCAGTACCTTTCCCAGCTTTGTATCACGGTGTCTGAAACTTTACTGGCACTAGTCATGGGTGAGAGCCAAGGGAATGAGGTACCTGTTGTCTATGTTTCTGTAAATCTGAATCTATGACTATATTAACTTGCTGTACATGATCTATGTCTAGAAAATGGCATCACTAAGACAGTCAGCATGGCCTCTTTACAAAGGTTCAACTCGTTTCCACCGCTCAATATCTAATCAACCGTTTCATGTACTGCTCCACAGTGGTACAGGTGTACTCGCAAGAGTCTGGAAAAAAAGGAAATAAAGAGCATGTTGGGTTTAATCAAGGAATAACCTGTCTGATCTCACATCAGGTCTCCAGATAAAAATAATCATCAAGAATGTTGAAAGAGGTCAAACTTGATGTCACTTCAGTTTTGCGTAAAAAGAGCCAATAATTAAAGGAAAACGGGACAAATGTTTTGTCAGTGCTGTGTCTCATTCACGTGATGCTTCAGTGTGTCTGTCTTCATCTCAAACAGCCTGATGTGTTTGATGTCAGGATGAAGTGTGTACTGTACAGACTGGGCTGCAATAAATTCCTAAACATGTGAGTCTGTGGTGATTATTGCATTTGATGTGGTTTTTTACTTTTGGTTCCTGTTGTTATTTCCACCAGACACATTCACTCAGGGTATGGATCACAAATTGCCTGGTTCATTGCCCACAGTTTACTATTCACTGTGTCACATGTCAAGGTGCGTCTTTGACCTGTGACCTTGACTCCTGACGGTCAGTGTTTATTTCAAGTTCTTTTTAACAGCCAAAGAAAGAAGACTAGAGAGATAAAGCAGGGAACAGTGAGAGAGAATAAAAAAGATAGATACATACAGACAGGAGAGAAAGGAATAACGCAGATTGGAGACAGAGAGCGACACAATAATACAGAGGGAATGTTCGCCTGTGGGTTTTTAACATGGCTGTGTGACAAACTGCACAGAGACTCAAAGTGCAAACATTATTAAACAACCCTGTGCTTTCTTTGGCTAAGTCTCTGCTCAGCACAACCCAAGACCTGATCTGGTTTCACCTACAGGACACTTGCAAACACTCTGCTGTTCAGCTCTTCAACCATTTCTTCTCTTCTTTTCTCTGGATTGAATCAACAAATTGAAACAGAGAACTGGCCAATTAATCAATGGATTAGTTATTTAAGTTATTTTTTTTTTCAAACAAACAAACAAAACAAAAAAACATTACCTAGTTATAACTTCACAGCTGTAATGATTTACTGCTTTTTTAAAAATCTTACCTGATAGTAAATTGACCATCTGTAGATTCCGAAAGGATGCTCCGAAACAAAAAAGCCATTCGAAGACGTCAACTTTAAAAAATTGTAACGAGCATTCACTGTCTTCTGACAATATATATTAACAATACATTACACAAAAAAAACTGGCAGACAGAATTTCAGCCCTAAACTACATGAAAAGGAGCCACAACCCCGAAATCAGCAACTATAGTACTACAACTCTAAAACGATTACTTGATGGTTGGCCAGTTTTCTTATTATTTTATTGACAAAAGAACCGTTTTTGACTGACAACACATTATCTGATTCACAGTAGAGGAATGAATTCATACACAGTAAGTAAAGACATTTTTATCTCTATTATCACACAATCCTCTTATTGTCCATATGTCTGAAGTGGATATTTAGTGCGCAAAATGAGAAAATACAAAAATACTGAGGATGTGGAGCTGCAGGTAAAAACACAGTGACCAGTCAGAGCCTTACAGAACCCAAATAAATAGAACCTTGGGGAATGCTGGAGCTGTTTCGTTGTTTGTTTTTCAGTGTTTTCAGCTGAGTTTCCAATGCAGGCTATTCATCTTCATCCAGGAATTCATCTATAAACTCCACCACCTCCCCCTGTGAACACACACGGAGGATCAACCAGACGACTCATGACAGTCTGTTTTATTTCAAAGTGACGCTTTGCACTGAGTCAGTCACCCCTCACACGCAGTTCTGTCTCTGACTTCTACCTGAGACGACAGTCAAAATGTCAATGGCATTTGACACATTCAGCATGTAACCCTGGCCAATGCTGAGCTGTTCTAGTGGCCACAGTCCTTGTGCTGCATCATAATAACCTACAGAAATGCTTGTGTCATGCTGCCATCCCATGGCAGTGTGTGACATCGCACCCTGATAAAAACAGGGCCCACATTGTACTGCAGGGTGTCATGTGACCAGACTGAAGAATCCAGGGTTTTCCGTACATGAGGACAGAGCCTAGACAAACAACCTAATCCAAACGCTAACCGATTTGAATCACGCAGGTCTATTTTTAAGAATAGACTGTATCTGATGTTTTGCTCACTTGACCAAAGATAACATCCTGACTAGAAGCATCCTGTGATGCAATACACAAAAATATGTGAACACAAGCACGTACCTCATCATCGCTCACCAGGCGCTGTCTGGAAAACTCCAACATCTGTAGCTGCATGGTGGTCTGATTGTAGTACCGCACTGCCTCCTGTAGCAAAGACACAACAGGTACAACTAATTAGTCAACATCCACACAAATAATGTGTGTTTAAGTGAAATGAAGACTAAAAGCAGGGAAAGAAGGCAGAGACCGAGTGCTAAATTAATTTCACATGTTGCTGAGATGAGAGTTAGACTCAATTATTGATATCTCATATATGTGTAAATATAAATCTACCAGCAGCATCTAGTTAGCTTTGCTTAGCACAGCTAACCTGGCTCTGTCCAAAGATAAGAAATGTGCACTTTGCCCCTGTAAAACCTCAAAAAGGTCATTTTCACACTTCACTTTTTTAGACAGTTTGAACAAATGAGATATAATGTCAGTTTTAGAGCTGCTGGCAGACAGATGTTAGTTCCTCTGGACAGAGCCAGGCCAGTTGTTTTCCTCTGGTTGAAGACATTTTGCTTAGCTAATATGCTGCTGGTGGTAGTTTTCGTTCTCCTGCACAGACATGAGAGTGGTCATCTAAAACTCACCAACGGCTAATATGCTGCTGGTGGTAGTTTTCGGTCTCCTGCACAGACATGAGAGTGGTAATCTAAAACTCACCAGCAAACATGTTATAATATGATATGTGTCCATTAGTGTGTCTTACTGATCTGGGGAGGAAGTCCTCCTCCGTCAGTTCCCACTGACTCTTGTGGAACTGGTAATAGGCCACGTTATTCTTCATAACTTCATCACTGGGGTCAAACAGCATGTAGCTGGTTGCACACGGCACAGCGTTCTTCAAGTCATTCACTGAAACACCGCACAAACAGAATGGACTCCAAAGAATATGAGTTGTCTAGCCACAGGTGTTAACAGAAAAAATGTTTGTCGGTGATAACAAAATGGTAACAATGTGATTTACATTTGTAATAGGCAAATTGCAGGTAATGGTACATGGTGGCCACAAACTTCTCCACAACGAATCCCCCTACCACAGGAGTCAGGTCACTTTCACACCTCACTTTCCTCTCTAGGACTTCTATGTAGTGATCTGGAGAGGAAAAAAATCAATTCTTGGATTTTCAGATGGATGAGAAATTATACAAATAGGATTAACTGGAGCAGTAACACAAAACTTGTTGAAGAGGGTTTTAATTAAATGACAAAAAGAAGCTAGAGTGCACTGTGTATCCAGAGAAAAAAGTAAATGTATTAATGGATAGAGTGCAGGAAGAGGAACAGCATCAGAACTGAGGTGCTGCAGATGAAGCAGGTATGAACTGACCAGCTATGGAAGGGTAGAAGTCTTTAAAGTCTTTGACATCCCTGGGCCCCTCACTTGCAGCCAGACACTCATCATAGACTTTGAAGAAGTCCCTCAGAGCCAGCTCCATGTCTGACACTGATGTTCGAAAGTTTCCCCCATTATACGCCCTCACTGCACGCACAAACAATGTCTGCAATAACACATGACACAAAACATTACAAAGCATAACAATCATTGTTACTGAAATATACTGCACTGCTTGGGCAAAACACATTGTTAAAGAACACTTTCTTATTAAAGACAATCATATTTTACTCAATTTTTTAAATCACTGTGGTGGTTGGTCTGTATTGGTGACATTCAAGTTTCATTATATTGTGAACTCCTTAAAAGACATCATGTAGAATCCCAGACCACTGTTTGACAACACTTGAACACAAGACAAAAATATTAACTGTCAACAACTGTTTTGAAAGTTTGAATTTGTGCAAATAATTTCAACAAGCTGTCATTCCAGTTAAAAAAATAATAAGGGGCAGTGTGGTGGCTTAATAGCTGAGATGCAAACCATGAGGGTGCAACAGATCATTTCTGGTTGGAGACCTTTGCTGTCTGTCATCTTACCCCATGTTTCCAGTCTGTACCTACCATGTGGCTATTTATTAAAGCTCCTTAACATTTTTTAAAAAAGACCCTTATATAAGGATCGGAATATATACAAATTGACAAATCATGAGACAAAACATAAAAAAACATAAAGACTTATATTTTTCATCACCATTTCCTGTTATCATGCTTTTATTTTGTTACACATTTCCTGTTTATTCACCCTGTGTTGTCTCCTCTTTGCATTTAGATCTGGCCCGCCCTTCCTTTGTCTGTTTTCCTGCCATCCCCACCTACCTCTGCCCTCCTCACCTGTTACTCATGAGGTCATCCTTGTCCTCGTGTACTTAAACCCCGTCCTGGTTGTTTCATGTTGCCAGATTGTCTCAGATACTCTGCACATAGACCTTTAGGCCAGGCTTCATTTGTGTTAACACTATCATATCTAACAACTTGCTAACCTTGCTAAGGTTAGATTTTTCCCAAGCAGATGTTAGTTCTTGTTTGTGCAATTGCCCCACAATCTTTCAGCTCAGCGACTTTTGTGAGGAGACTAAAACATGTTACTTTGAAGCACCACACCACATTCTACAGTAAAGCTACTGAGAATTTCTCCAAACCTCCTGTTTGGTTTTTGGCATTTGGGTCTTCTGAAACAGAAATGTTACATTTATTTGTGTTACAGAAACAAATTGGAAACGAAACCTCTGGGCTCCATTTTTGGGAAGCTCTTTCGAGTATGTACAGGGGTTGGCTACGGAAAAGTAGCTCGCCTCCAATACTGGTGCCATGGGCAATGCGGGTATGCGGGCTACTTTTCTGTGGCCCACCCTGTATAATAACTCACAGGCCAGCCTGGCAGGCCAACCACAGCCTTCTACCACATCAGTGCACACACAGAGCCAAATATAGGATGGTTTGAGTGTGCGTGTACATTCACAAAGACATACAGGTATGGGTATGACTCTTGCGTGCACAGTCTTTCCATGTGCACAAGCTTTCAGAGATCACCAAGGATCCGAACAAAAGAATATCTATGTTTGTGTGTGTGTGTGTGTGTGTACCTCATAGGATTTGGTCTCCAGGTCTTTGAAGTGTTCTTCGGCCCCAGGCAGGCTCTTATAGTAGGCCATGTTCTTCTGCATCATCTCATCATCTGGGTGTTTTAGCAGGAAGGTGTGAGCAGCAGACACTGCCTTGGCCAGGTTGTTAGACTGAGACAAATGCACAGTGTAAACACTTTTTATATATTCAGTAAAGGAAACTATAAAAATACAGTGTTCACCCTACATTATAATTGTACAAAAAACACTGAGAAGTTACCTGAAAATGGATAAATCACTAATAATAACTGCTTTGTATCACTGAATCAGGAACTACATAGTGATAATTTTAACACACGTTGGTTGTGTCATAGTCTGCTGCTGATTCACAGATCCTTGTAACTAATTATTATTATTGAGAATTATCAATTGAATATTTAGAAGATAACTATTTTAAATGTTTGCTTTAAAACAATAGTGAAATGTATGTGTCTGTGTCATCGTGTTCACATTCTCAAATCTCCCACAGTTACACTATTGTCAGTAACACAGGAGCAATCATTACAATGACCAATTACATGTTCAATGCATGTACTATATGTGCATGTCAGCATTGCTTTAAAAGTGAACCTGTTGTTTAATAACTTCAAACCATGCCAGAAAAATACACCAAGCTGCATGGGAGCATCTGCATTTGTTGTGTCTCATATCATTTATGGTATTTGATTGGACACACCTCTGTGTGTATACTGTATGTTTGTATTAAGCCTTACATTAAATCTCGACCATAATATCTAATTAGTATGTGCTGTTTCTCTCCTGTAAGGATGTAACTTCTTAATAATGGCAGGGAAACACAGACGTGCACCAGTAAAAAGTTCAGGATCTCCCCCTTTGGCACAGTTGATTCCCCCCTGTATCCGTGGCACGTATGTGACGTCAGAACGCATATGGAAAATCAGTCTGTGACGGTAAAATAAGAACTGTGGATGCTCTGGTGTCCACCGTGCAAATAAGTAAAGTTGCCACCTTATATTGATAAGTATTATAAAGTTTGCTTTGACTGTGATTTGGATCAGTTGTTCTTTGACCATTTTCGACTACATACTGTAATCCACGTTTTTTCTTACCTTGAAGTAGGCATACTGCAAGTATTTATATGGCTCTCTCCTTTCAAATTCATCTATGGTGTCCCGGCTGGGCATTGACTGTCTAAAAGCGGGCAGACCCTGTTTGCAGCGCTTGAGGCACTGCGCCCTCTTCATAACGTTTCCAAATGCCCGCAACTCAGGAAACTCCGCAAACTTCTGCTCGTCTTCGAGCCGCACGGAGCTGCAGTTGAGGTTGCAGAAGGCCTCGCTGTCCCGAAGCAGCCGGTACAACCGCAGAGACACCTCCATGTACTCTACCGTCTCCTTCCACTTCTCCCCGGTGTACTGGTCCAGTGCGTATTTGTAAGCGGACTCCAGAGGCATCAGCTCATGTCTAGGGAAACTCCTGAAGCTGTATTGTTCATATTGAGAGTTCACCACAGAGACAAGGAATGCGATTACTAGCGCAGAGAAGAATCGAGAAGAAGTGGAAGGTGCCATTTTTTCAACTTTAGTAACTATTTGGAGGGGCTGGCTGGGATGATCCCTTCCGTCGGAATCTGTAGCACCTCCTCAAGTTCCACCACGTATCCGGACAAAGCCTCCCCTCCCCCGGGCATAGGGCAGGATCCGTCGCTCCGGCGGGTGGGGGTTTAGTGGAGCTGCTCCTCCCACTAAATAACAGAAATAAATCACTGCTGTTCTGTTCGCATACAGTACATGTAAAACCCTGACAGAGAATACACCTCGTAACAAGCAGGATCCTAAGTGTGGGGAGAAATATGAAACTTTTGGTCGGAGGGCAAGGTATATTTGTCATTTGGCTTGAGTTTGAGTACCAACCAAGTTACTGTTCCATAAAATATTTCTCTAAACTTTAACCATGTTTCCTCTAGACCACTAATTAAACTCCTATAGAGAGTGGAGTGTCCCTCCTCCTCTCACTGCCACGTAGGGACATTCCTATCTGGGCTGCTCCCCTCCAAGGGCCTGGATCCCACCACCACAACAGGGTGCATGTATAACATCAGTAAATGCAAACTTTATGCTTATGTGTCATTGTTAAAATCTGACTGCAGTTCAGATGCGTGCATGATTCTGATTTAACTGGCTCCAGAGGGGGATGTGTCTGCAGCTGTGTGGAGACCCCTGCGTTACCACGTTGACACATCTCAGTGGCTGCACTGCGCAAGAGCAATACGTGGTGCCCAAACGATCCCATTCAAGCCCAAGGTGCGTCAAGTCGGCTATAGGAAAAGCAAACTAGACAGGAACTATTTCAAAATAAGAACACCCTTAACCACCTAAGCTTTGTTTGTGTCTCATATTAACTGTCGGATCATAGCTTGTCATCCTTATTTATTCGTGTTTTAACAACAAAACATTGCATTAAGGCCGCCCATCGGGGTTGTAATCGTCAAATGTTAACCGGATATTGTGCATTTTAATCTGACTTGACACGTGATCGTTCCTGCGCTGGGACCAGGGGCAGGACTTTTAGCCAACTCGGAGTAGAGGAAACCAATGTACCGGGAAACAGGGAGGCAAACACGTACAGGCCGAGCCCACAGTTATCTACATCGTTTAGCAGCTTGTCGGCAGTGAAAATGATCCAATGCGTGCATGGGGTGCTGTATCTGTCGTTTCTGGTGGCATTCGCCGCCTGCAACGCTCCTCCGGTACCCTTAGACGACATCATCATTGAGAAAACTTTCGTGCCAGAACAGTGTGTGCGCGCAGTAAAAGTAGGGGATTATGTCAGGTATCACTACATTGGCACGTTTCCAGACGGCAAGAAGTTTGACTCTAGGTGAGTATATGGCAGAAGAATCGTTTTATTCTTTGTTTATTCTCTTTCTGCAGAGCAGGCGGCGCATTGATGCGTAAAAGTGCGCGTTTAGTGGTTCGCCCCGTGAGCCACGCAGGCAAGCTGACTGAGCTCTGCATCCATATATGCTTAATCCAATGACTCCAGAAGCTTTTCATATCAATGAACACAAGAGAGATTACACAAAGGACTCTACCCTGGCCAGATGGATAGTTTTGGTTGATACTGTATACATTAATATGATCACACTGGTGAGTCCTTACTCCTTCTGTTGCAGCCCCTTTGCAGGACCTTTGGACTCCACTTTGAGAACCACTGTTTTTAGTCATCAGAAATAACAGTGTACCCGGAAGGCTGAGTTACTAGGTGGACAGCTGCCCAGACCCCCCAGACCAAAGGCCCAGAATGTTCCACAAACGGATTTTGGTCATATAAATAATACATTTCAATTCAACACACTTGTGGAATTGAACTTTAGCAGTACAATATCAACTAAGACAAATCCTGCAGTATTAATTCTGGAATGTGGCCATGTGTTCTTGTCCAGACAGCATAGAAATGACCAGCATCATATGAATCAAGAATTCTAAAGAGATTGTGGTGCATTCACTCTTAAGTCATATTGACAGATGTGACATATTGCAAAGGTTTTACCTGAGTGAGATTTATCTGAATGAATAGTCAGTGCTGCGCAGGAGGTTGATTGTTCCTCTGAAATGGTTACTCTGATGCAGATGTGAAAATATGCATATGGACACTATGTTCTTAAAAACGTTAAGCAGGTAACAGATATTTGTAGTTGAAGCAATGCACTGCCTGTGATTCATGTGCTCACAGGTATATAATGTGTTTATGTGTGTCTGTTTCAGTTATGACCGTAGCAGCACCTACAACGTGTTTGTTGGTAAGAAGCAGCTGATCGAAGGGATGGACAAAGCTCTGGTGGGGATGTGTGTCAATGAGAGAAGACTGGTCAAGGTCCCACCTCACCTTGCCTATGGAAAGGAGGGATATGGTATGTGTTTAACACATGTTCATGTCCCATCACTTGATTGTTTAGAACCAGACTAAAGCATGTTTTTCACAAAGCTTGTGAAGAAGATAGTAAGGAGTCATTATAAATGCACAGATGAGTGGACACACAGTTGGCACCGCTTTCCATATCAATGAGAGAATTTGGTCGCACATTGGCAGAAATGTTAGAGACAAAAATTATAGTCTCTCACGAGAATACCATGTTGTGTTAGAGTTAGCCGAAGCAGAGAGGAAGTGGGCTGCTCCCTAACGCCCATGTTCAATGATGTCAGAGGGGCATCACAGACCAGGAAGCAGAGGCAGCTGCTTTGGGATTTTCAGATTTTAGTAGCTGCAAATGCTGCAACATCAGCAGCAGGAGGGTTACATTTCTAGATCTTAATCTGTACAGGAACATAAAGAAATGTGGACCACTGTCCAAAAGTGTGTGTGTTTCTGTCAGAAATGTTGATATATTTGCAGACTTAGTCTGCTTACATGTAGAGACTGGTGCATCTGTGTATGTACGTGTGTGTGTGTGTGTGTGTGTGTGTGTGTGAGCATGAAATATTTAGATAATGGGAGGGAGAGAAGAGAGGGGGGCATGTGTGGACAGGTACATGCTGAGGCTGTCCACCACCGCCAGTCTGTAATGGAGGGAACATGAGAGAGACAGAAAAAAATAGAGAGGGGAGATTTTTGGAGGAGGCAGAAAGAGACTCAACCCGGAAAGAGTCCTGCCAGCTCATCAGCAGTAAATATTTAATGGCTGCCACCCACAGTTGTTGCACCCCTCCTCCACATTCTTCTCCCTCTCCTTTCTAAGCAACTTCACCTTCTATATGTTGGTGAGTGCAGCTTTAAGTGAACACTGTGCAATACACATGTACAGTATAATAAATGTTAGGTTCTTTCATTGGAAATTGATTGTAACTTTTCAAAATAGTTGCTGATTAATGGTTTGTTGATCAAAGCATTGATTAATCAACTCCTCGTATGGTTTTATACTGATGTACTGTTAGCTCAGTGTTAAGGTGACTCGAACACAGAAGCGAGCGAGTCACAAAAATTAGACGGACCCAGGTGGCTGACTTCGGTGCAGACAGTGGTAGTTTATTTACAGTGATAATAAGTGACAAGAAATGAACAGTGGAGTAATGGAGGGACCGGGTGTCGAGCTTTGGAGGTGTACACAGTCAGTGATGGATACGAGGTGAAGATGACCGGGCTGCGGACACTGGGATACACTCCTGGGCTGGTCGGGTAGGATGGTACTGAAGATAACAGAAATGTAAACATACGGTAAGTAGTAGATTGTGCATCGACCTGCAGGTTGTGGTGGTGGAGAAGAGCGTAGGAGGTCCGTGGTCCAAAGGAGCGACTAAGGTGAGGAGGGATAATTCCAAGCAGCTGGAGAGAAGGAGGCAAGACAAAACTAACACAGAATCAAAAGAACGACAGGTAACAAACGGGCCTGATAAATGCTGGAAAGAACTGGCAGGGGAGTGAACGAAGAGCAGGGACTAAATAGGGAGAAACTAATCAGGTGCAGCTGGTGGTAATCTGGGGTTAAGAAACAGGTGTGAAGGAAAACGTGATCAGGGTAAGGGAGTGAAAACAGAGTGAGGGGAGTGAGAAAGTAGGTGCAGCCGGGCAAACCTGACACTTAGTGTAATGATTTATCTGAGTATAGGCTTAAGATCATTCACTACTACCCAGCACTAGTATGAGAGCAGTACGTAGATACTGCATGTGACAGTTTTCACATTCCTCTCAGGTGACATCATCCCTCCTGACTCCATCCTCCATTTTGACGTCCTGCTGCTTGACGTGTGGAACTCGGATGATGGCGTGCAGATCAATACCTACCACACCCCCCCGACCTGCTCCAGAAAGGTGGAGGTGTCTGACTATGTCCGCTACCACTACAATGGCACACTGCTGGATGGGACTCTCTTTGACTCCAGGTTTGTTCCATACAAGCCCTTATGTACACAGATGGTCACACAAAAACACCCCCACACACAAATATGTAAACTCTCTCCTTCATGCTGCACTGCAGTCACACCCGTATGCGTACCTATGACACCTACGTTGGGATTGGTTGGTTGATTGCCGGTATGGATCAGGGCCTTCTGGGAATGTGTGTTGGAGAAAGACGTATCATCACAATGCCCCCGTCACTCGGCTATGGAGAGAATGGAGATGGTGAGTATTAAGAATTTGTTAATTATTATTTGTTTCCTTGAATTAGATTCCTGTGTTTTGAGAGTAATTAGAAACTAATGATACATGGAGCAGTTATTCAAGGACATTGACAACAATAAAGAAGCACTAATCAAGGATAATCACCTTTATTTGGCCAAGTATGTTACACACAAGGAATTTGTTTCTGGTACAGAACTAAGGCAGCCATCTGCGGCGCCACCTCAACCAATTGCTCTAACCATCGGGGGCAACTTGGGGGTTCAGTGTCTTGCTGAAGGACATTTCAACATGTGGACTGCAGGAACTGAGATTTGAACCTCTGACCCTCCAGTTGGGAGAGGACTGCTCTACCCACTGAACCACAGTCACCCCCTAAATAAAATATAGTTCAATATTTAAACAATGCCTTCCCATATATGTCTGATATCAGAAAAATATTAGAAATCATAACTATATGAATAGTATACACTCACCGGCCACTTTATTAAGTACACCTGTACAACTTTATGCAGTTCAACGCAACACTTCCACCTTAACATCTGCGTTTATGAAGCTCAAAATGTTTCAGTTTTTGGTGAAATTATCATAAATGTGTAAATTCAGTTTACTGAGGTCACAGTTAAAGGTGGTGTTGTACTGGACCACATTATATTTAGAGGTGTTTCTATATTTTTGTCCTCCCCAGCTCACATACATGAGAGGGTCAGAATATTAGGAACACCTCTGAATATAATGTAGTCCAGTACAACACCACCTTTAAATATGACCACAATAATAAACATATAATTAAATTTATACATGTATGACAATTTCACTAAAAACTGAAAAAACACGGAGGTTAAGGTGAATGTGTTGCATTGCATTGCATACAATTGTACAGGTGTACCTAATAAAGTGGCCAGTGAGTGTAAATAAAAGTTTGTTTGCTTTTATGAAGGATTCCCATATTGTCATGTTCCTATCACACTGACATTATTTGTACTGAAATTCTTGTTCCTCACATTGGAGTCAGTAGTTTGACAGAACAATTTTAACTCAAGGCTTTACTTCTTACTTGGTTAAGGTTAGGAACCGACACTAGTTATGGTTAGAAGAAGAATGAAGAATAATGTTTCTGTAGTTTCTCAGTCCCCATACCTGCCTCTCTTCTCGTCTTCAACCTTTCTCCTTTCCTCTCTCCAGGTAGCGACATCCCAGGGCAGGCATCTCTGGTGTTCGATGTCATGCTCCTGGACCTCCACAATCCCAGAGATGGGATCACAGTGACCAATCAGACGATTCCAGAGTCCTGCACGAGGAAGACAGTAGCTGGAGATTTTGTACGCTACCACTATAACGGCAGCCTCCTCGATGGGACGTTCTTTGATTCCAGGTATGTGTCAGAGTTTAATGTTAAGCATGTAAATCACACAGAATAGCAAATATTGGAGTTATAAATAGAAGTAAAGTTTTTAATTCCGGCAGCTTTGACCTATTTTTGCTGTAGCCTCAGGGTGGCAGCATTTCTCTGTCCACCATCAACATCAGGAGAGAAGAATAGAAATGTAAAAGCCCCCAATGGAAAGGTCCTGTCTGCATTTCATAATGCTGCATTCTCTGAATAGTTTTTCTTCCTGTGCTTTCACTTACAACAGAGGACTAGTTCACAGACATGTCTATTTGCTGTAAAGGTATAAAAGAAGAATAAGATGAACTAACTGTAAAAATTAAGGTTTTTAACTGTAAAAAAATGTCCATGTTATTAAAAAACTTATTCTCTTATATTGCACATCATGTCAGCTATAGAACAAATACACAACAATACTGTTCACTACACCAAATGAAATTAATAATCTAGTTTGGAATATACAGATATTTTTCAATGCAAGTAGAAACAAATTCCACAATTGTGGTTCAGTGTAGTTCACTTTTCGAAAGAAATGAAACTTTGTTTTGAACACCTGCTTTGGTGATTTACGTCTCTGGAAGTTCATCTTCACGGTCATTTGAGCACAGTCCCTGTGGGATTGGCCTTAATAAACTCTTTTGCACATTCAGTACAGCCAGCAAGGACTGAGATAAAATGCCTGAGATAAAAATGAACAGAACGCTCTTTCAGAGAAAATTCTTATCTTTGCTTCCCACCACACACATTGTCTGTCATCATTCATATACTTTTGCCAGGAATTGGAAGTTATTGATATTCTAAAATGTCACCATACTTTATGTTGGTGTATATATATACATATAAAACACACATAGATAGATAGATAAAAGCACACTGTATATTCTCCTTTTCAATGGGACAGTGTGATAATATCCATCAATCCCACATTTCCTGAACAGGGGCAGCGGGGTGAGGGGTGGAGCCAATCACAGTTGACATTGGGCCAGAGGCATGGTACACCCTGGACAGGTCACCAGTCTATCACAGGGCTGACACTTAGAGACAGACAACACACACACTCACACTCACGCCTACGGGCAATTTGGAGTCACCAGTCAACCTAAGCTGCATGTCTTTGGACTGTGGGAGGAAGCTGGAGTACCCAGAGAGAACCCACACAGGCACAGGGAGAAAAATGACAGTTCCAAACAAAAAGGCATTGGCTTGAATCCGGAGCCTTCTTGCTGTGAGGCGACAGCAATAACCACTAGTGTGGTAATACTCATGTTAATATTTTCTATTCCACAGCTACTCTCGTAATCGTACCTATGACACCTATGTGGGTCAAGGCTACGTGATTGCCGGCATGGATGAAGGTCTGATTGGAGTCTGTGTCGGAGAGAGACGCACCATCACCATCCCCCCACATCTGGCCTATGGAGAGGAGGGCACAGGTGAGTGTGTGCACAGAGACTGTTAGATTCTACCCAAATTCTTTTATTGAAAACGCGAGAAGTGAAGACAGGAGAGAACTGTTTAAAATCAACAGGAAGTTTAAAGTCTGGGCACAGGTGAAGCTACAGGCCAGTCAACCTAAGCTGCATGTCTTTGGACTGTGGGAGGAAGCTGGAGTACCCAGAGAGAACCCACACAGGCACAGGGAGAAAATGACAGTTCCAAACAGAAAGGCATTGGCTTGAACCCGGAGCCTTCTTGCTGTGAGGCGACAGCAATAACCACTAGTGTGGTAATACTCATGTTAATATTTTCTATTCCACAGCTACACTCGTAATCGTACCTATGACACCTATGTGGGTCAAGGCTACGTGATTGCCGGCATGGATGAAGGTCTGATTGGAGTCTGTGTCGGAGAGAGACGCACCATCACCATCCCCCCACATCTGGCCTATGGAGAGGAGGGCACAGGTGAGTGTGTGCACAGAGACTGTTAGATTCTACCCAAATTCTTTTATTGAAAACGCGAGAAGTGAAGACAGGAGAGGAGTGTTTAAAATCAACAGGAAGTTTAAAGTCTGGGCACAGGTGAAGCTACAGGCGAAGGTACAGACACTATGTCTACACAGAAGTTAAAGCAGGCAGTTTCTACTTCAGTATCACTTGACTCTCATCAATACAATTGTAAGATATATAAGCAAGGAAAATAAAGGTATGAAAAGTAACTAAAAGAAAATGAAGAACTGAAAAGTAACTAAAGCTTATAAAGTAACTAGAGCCTATAAGAATCAAATCTTACAAGACCCTATTCAATGCGTGCACAATACATCCTTTATGTGCTGATTAGCTAACTGAGTAAGCCAAAGTCACAAATCAGCAACAACAAATTCAATCAATAAATTCATCAATAAATACAGGTAATTAACTAAAGGTAAATTAATGATGGAAAAGAATAAATTATCACTTCAATTTAAATCAGAAGTGAGCAATAATTATGTCACAGTTGTAATAAATTGAGAACCAAGATGGACAAACCACTGCCAAAGAGGTTACAGTGAAAAGTGACCAGTGAATATTGACAGTAATGAAACACAGATGAGAGGTGTAGTGGGAATTTTATGGTAGCACCCTTTTTAGTTTATTGGCTGTTGCTTTGTAGTCATTGAATAAAGGAATTTGTGTGATTGTGACACCAGGACGTTTACTACAGTGCCTTGCGAAAGTATTCGGTTACAGTTTTATATCTTTATGTTTGAAGCCTGAAATGTGGCAAAAGGTCGCAAAGTTCAAGGGGGCCGAATACTTTCGCAAGGCACTGTATGTCAGCATGTTCGTAAAGATTTACCTGCCTTTGTTTGACTGGTATCCTGTTGCCCATCTGTTTGAGCATTTGTTTTCCTGCAATTGTATGTGTGTGTATAAGAAGAGAAGTAACACTCTGATCTGGGAACTTCTCTCTTCAGACTGGTTAGACACTCTGTTTAGAGATTGCTCCTTTGTGCAGAAATAAATCTGTAATAACTTTCAGAGTTGATGTTAAGTCTTTATTTTACACTCACCAAGCTTTAATCGATCATTTTGCCACAACAGCAGGTGACTGATATGCAAAAGATCTTTATTGCATTTTGTGGTGGATTTTTCTTTGGTACTTTTCTAATTCTCTAAAAACTTAAACTCCTCAATTAATTAAATTTTATTTTAATAAGGTGGCAGGGCACCACAACCCTACAAAAGCACACACTATGATAAGGAAGGACTCAGAGACTGCGATCAGGTCAGTTCACACAGATTTATTCATGCAACAAATGCAGGTTACTTGAATAAACCGAGCTGTCCTGGGAACAACTGAAGACATAGACTTATGCCATCATTTTACACCTTCCTATAGGGGATGAGCTAAACCGTCCTGTCTAGAGAACTAGAACAAACAGTCATGGTCTCTAAACATTCAGTCACCCTTGCATCCTGCTTAAAATGTGATCTTACAGATTTTCCATCCCACAAGCAATGACAGTTCAGTGATACAAGGGTCTGGTCATGATGATCAGATTACATTAAACAAACATTAGCATCCCAGGACTGCAGCTGGATGTAATACTACATAGGTCACTTAGCTCATTTATAACACAGTCTAGTGGAGAAATAGTAAACATAATACATGAACATAATCATATACTTAATATAATGATAATGACAGCAAATAATGATAATGATTATGAGCATGAAAATGACAATAATCCAGTTTGACTCCACTCCACAGAAAACCAGAACATGATGGTTTAATGACGTCCTGTAACACAGGGCATATACTCAAATGATCAATTCATCATTCTCTTCTTTCTCAATTTCTCAAGCCATCCCACAACAGGCAGCAAAGACCAAGCCATCTTCGTATAAAGAGTGAGAGTTTCTGATGGAAGTGTGAGCAGAGTAGGCGGAGCTGGGGAGCAGATAGCTCACTGGCATTCAGTTGCTTCCTAATCAATTGAAAATCATAGTCAAAATAATAAAATGTTATTGAGTGCTTTATATAATATTGGAATACAATCTCAAACCAATCAGTAATGAATGAAGTAGCCACATCCTGTGGTTTGCAGATTTGTCTTGTTGAGCTCAGACCAGACCACAACATACTCCTTTATTTACAGCTTTTAATATTGGATGCTTTTATTTTCTCACCATGTCTGTCAGGCACTAACATCCCAGGTTCAGCTGTGCTGGTGTTTGATGTTCACATCATCGATTTCCACAACCCCTCAGACAGCATCGAGGTCACGGTCACATACAAGCCAGAAACGTGTGATAAGCAAACCAAGAAGGGAGACTTTGTAAAATATCACTACAATGCCTCCCTCATGGACGGCACATCAATTGACTCCACGTGAGTAAAACGTCTGTCCAACACAAGCAAAACATCTTAGAAAACCTGGAGAGAGTTGGTTTTTGGGAATTACTGCATCATGTTAGATTAAATGTTGAGCATCCTGTGTTATAAACAGTGCTATATAAATAAATACACACAAGCAGTGAGTGATATTAATTAACCTATCCAACCAACCAAGTTTTGGCTTCTCACAGAAGCACCCAATAAAATGCAGTATGCCTTAAATCTTCTGACCTGCTGTCAAATTATCATCCGCAAGAATACCTTTCACAGTTCAGTGAAAATGATCTGACGTTACCATCTGATATACATACACACAACTTACCAATCAACTTACACTCAAAATCCATGAAAACGCGTTGTACAGTTATTCTGTATGTTTCACTCGCTTTGTTTCAGGTATAGTTATGGAAAGTCGTACAACATCGTGCTGGGAGCCAACCAGGTAGTCCCAGGGATGGAGGACGGACTGATGGACATGTGTGTGGGCGAGAAAAGGCACCTTGTCATCCCACCTCACCTGGGCTATGGGGAGAGAGGAGTCAGTAAGTCGCACACACGGTCGTTTCATTACTTCAGAGGACAGTACATTGATTTACAGTCATTTCCTGGAGACTTCCTGTACCTGTACCTTAAAATGTACTCATTTATATTATGGGGATGAAAAGGTTGAAGATTTGCTTAGACTGTCAGTGGAATTCAATTAAATATTAATTCTCAGATGCAGAGTTTATAATGTGAGCTCAGTTCAAAGTCAGATCATAAGGACAAATGCACTGGACAAAGAGAGACAAAAAACTTCTTATATTTATAGATCACCTAACTTATACAAGAAAGGAAGATAGAAAAGGGACAATGAAGAGATGAATGTATCACACTACATAGTCTCACTCCTTTTAGTATTGCTAGTACTTACTGCTCTAGTTCATTTGATCATATCACATGATCTTCATCAGCGACTGGATCTTGATTATTGTGCTGTGGTAAAAAATTGCACCAAAAGTCATTGAAGTCTTTTAATTTGTTGAGCTAGTAACAGGATTATAAATCTACTTTAAGCTGTACCTATTTCATAAATATAATAGACAGTATAGAATTTAGCATCACTAACTGCAGCGGATGCTGTTTGCGCATGTGTGTGTGTGTGTAGTTGATGAAGTTCCTGGGAGCGCTGTGCTTGTGTTTGACATCGAGCTGGTAGACATGGAGGAAGGACTTCCTGAAGGCTACATGTTCATCTGGAACAGTGAAGTGTCACCTGACCTCTTCACTGAGATGGACAAAAACAAAGATGAGCAGGTGGAGCCCTCTGAGGTATGTGTGAGTAGAAAGGAGCCACACGAAGAGATTTTGTAGGGTTGTAACAGAATCAGCAATTGTTTATTCAGTTCTCAGAGGTTTCATCAGCAAGGATCTTGCAGCAGAAAGCTTAAAAAGCAAATGAACAGATTATAAGCCCATGGGCCCCATGGGACACATGTGTCTCATGTTTACACAAAATAAAAAATTTTATCATAAGTAATGTATTATTTATTATTATCATACATCTATGGGTTTAATATACTTCTAACTTGTAGGCCCATTTCAGAATCAGCTTTATTGGCCAGGTGTGTTGGGCACATGAGAACATTTCTCTGAATCTGTGCCCCAGGCTGGCCACCCCACCCAAAATCTTCCAGATCTGCCTCTGTAAATCCCAGAGAGAGAAACAAAATGAAGATATTGACATCAGTGGCAGAAAACTATTTCTAAACTTGGAAATAACACCTTAATGGACAGACTGAACCCAGGTATATGGGCAGGAATCTTGCTAGTTGATTAATAATTTGTAGAAGAGAAAAGTATCTCCTGCAGCGTGTTCTTTTATGAAGAATAATCGGAGTCAACTATCACCTTTCAAACATTTATTATCATAACTGAACAGACCATCGAATAAAGCAATTTACAGCGCTCTGGGTTCCGTCTCTATCTGAAGCCCTAACCTCAACAGCAAAACCGTTCAATTCGTCTTCAGGACGAGAAGGAACGCCTACCCTCCTGGAAACCCAGTTACTTATAGAATTCGAAATGTGCAATTGTAGGCTGGTCTGGTCCTCTCGTGTTGCTCCATTGGTCCATCTATCCATCCGTCCTCCTCCTGCATCCTTCCTGCTCCAATGGGAAAGGCAGCTTCCTAAAGAGGGAGGAAATCCTACTCTGCCTAAATTTCTCCACTCACTTCTTTCTTTGTTTTCAACTAACTAACTACACTATATGTGACCTGGCTTCCCGTTTGGCTAATTAAACTATCTGCCCTGCCTTTGAAGTTGTCTTCCTCTTGTTGGCTTTTAGATCTAATCTCTTGTTTAATACCCTTGGTGTCCCAGTGACCTCAAATTCCCTGGCCTCTTAAGCCAGGTGGTGATAATAAAGTATCTGTGGACCCTCTTTGCTAAAGCTGTAAATCTAATGAGAGTCAGTGTTTTAGTGAACCAGTCTCCCCTTGATGTCAAACAGTGCTCCAGTTGGCTAACACAGTAAATACTGGCCAAGAATTCAATGAACACATAGAATGATATACTCAACTAACTATGTAAACATAATTGTAACATATAAGTAAGCAAACTTATGTGTGCTCTAAACTAAATCCTAATTATTCATTTTCTTAATATGATAGAATAATCATACACACACAAAGTAAACAAACAAGTTAACTAATCAACAAACAGTGTCAATCTTCCACTAACTAAGTTCTTAATTCAGTCTAATATTAAAACTAATCCTAATGTATTACTTTGTTAACAATTTTACTCAACACTCCTCAAAACAACTGGTATCTTTTCCAAGTCATTGTCCGTTTCCTCGTACTCCTGCCCAAGACCACATAACGAGCCAATCACACAGAGTTCAAGAACTTTGAGTTCAGCTTTCAATCACATAGTCTGTGATGATAACTTGCTGTTTTGAATGCCTAAATGTGCATCTGAACATTTTTGCTTTTTGCTACTTCACCCCCTTTTTTAAAATTCCCCTTTGTCTCCATAGTTTACCGACTACATCATGCGGCAGGTGAATGAGGGTAAAGGTCGACTGGCTCCTGGCTTTGATCCTTATCGCATCATTGACAACATGTTCTCCAACCAGGACCGCAACGGAGATGGAAAAATCACAGCGGCTGAGTTCAAGCTCAAAGCAGATGAAGCTGAAGCCCACGACGAGCTATGACGGGACTCAGTGTGACATTCAGATCAGGGTGGAGGGTAAAGGGTCAGACAGTCAGAGAAACTTGGGGTTGTTTTACATATGTGGATGGTGGAGAAAGAAAAAATGAGGCTGTATGTGTAAACTAAGTACGGGGTGAGAAATATGCTGATTCAGCTTTTTTTTATTTCGAGGACTGAGATGGTAAAAGTGCCAAATGAATTTGAGAAGAAAGAGGATTTAAGAATTAGATTATTTTGAGGACAAAAAAATTTGGAAGACGTTTAACTTGAGGACTATATGAAAATGAATGACTTTTCTTTACTTCTTCTCACATCAGTTTTTTCTCTTTTTCTACGTAACATTTTGAGGGGTACAAAAGCAGAGAACAATCTAAGACCTCATTCCACAATTTCTATATTCAACACTTTTTTATTGTTGTTGACATCTTGTTGTCGTGCGTGACACTTTCTTTTCACTCTGTATCACAGGGTGAGTTCATCTTCGTTTGCTGTAACATACTAGGATGAAGGGAGTTCACATTTGTTTCTGAGAGCTACCACTCATTTATAGGTGAAGATAAGTTATAATTGTAAATGAGAGGTTTATGCTAGAGCAACCGATTATTTACACAGTTTACAGCTGATGCCTGCCATTTATAGGGGATCAGTCACCCTCCAACAAAACGCTGAACAGTCCACGTGTTGTTGTGGCACTTCGGTCTTTCAATCACTTTTGGTCAGCTAATTGTTCCGTGTGTCCATTACCAATGTCAGCTGCGGCTTTGTGTTTTAGTGTGTGAGTATGTGTGTGTCAGGGAGAGAAAAGTGTGCGTGGGAATGTTGTTTTTGTTTTACATTGTCATTCAGGAGAACACTGAGGCTTGATCAAATCCTGTTAGCAAAAGGTTTAATTTGATTAAATGACTTGACCTAAAGAAGTGTGTCTGTCCCTTTGTTCCTTTACTTTTGTTATATCAACTTGTCAAAACATGGTGCCTGCATTACCCATAATGCAACTCAACTGTTAGTAATTAACTGAGGATAGAGGGTATCATAGGTTGTACAGATGAATTGGGTTTTCATCGCAAGATTTGCTCTGATCGTCTCCAAGACATCATTTTAACCTTTTCTCTTCAATGCTTTATTATTTTTCAGTGTTAGCTCAGTGATCGTTGTCTTTGATATTTGTCACACAGTCCCCCTTAAATAACAAATTATTGTCTGATATGTTTTCAGGGTGGACGTTCAGGATGTTGTACAGCTTACAAAGCTTTATGGGGCATTTTTTTGTGATTTTGAATTGTAAAAATGAATTTGACAAATAAGACATCCTTCTGCTAAAAGCAAACAAATGTTAGATATGTGTTTATGGCCTAACCTGTGCAGGTAGTGTTGGGGTGAATTTCATTTTATGCACTTATGAATAGGTTTTGTTAAGGTTTTTATTTTATAGCACACAAGTTTACATACTTGTATGTCACAGTTATGTTTACATAGTTACATATCACCCTATGTGTTCACTGAATCACTGGTCAATATATAATGTGTTAGTCACTGAAACGGTTCAACATTATAGAGACTTGTTCACTAAATCACTGAATCTCATTAGATTTACAGCACAGGCTAAGAGAGTCCATAGTTAATTTATTATCACCACCTGGCTTAAAAAGCCAGGGGAGTTACAGTTCAGTGGGACCCCAAGGTTATTTATACAGAGATTAGATCTGGAGGCTGGAAGAGGAGAAAGCTTCAAAGGTAGAACCATTATGTACACACACACACACACACAGAACAGTTTTAAGTGGTGAAACGGAAAGTAATGCCTAATATGGAGCAGTCAGAAACAAAAGAATAAGTGAGTGTCTATGTAGGATTTAAGGCAGTACAAGTATTCCTCCCCTTCCTAGGGCGCTGTCCTGTACGATTGGAGCAGGAAGGATGTACAAGGACGGACGGACTGAAGGACCAATATCGGGAGAGTTAAGGCCAAACCACGGCTCCTGCCCAACAGTTTTTGACCAATTAGATAGTAGCACCTTTTCATATAAATATTGTATACCGATAAGTTGAGTCTTTTCTGTTTCTCCTAAACAGTGAAGATCCATGTGCACATGCTTATTTTGATACGTTAATGCATAATAAATTTCACACTGTGAAAAATCCTTTTGTTATTCTCTTCTCAAATAAAAGAACACTGTTAGGATGACTCGAACACAGAAGCGAGCGAGTCACAAAAATAGACGGACCCAGGTGGCTGACTTCGGTGCAGACAGTGGTAGTTTTATTTACAGTGATTATTAATGACAAGAAATGAACAGTGGAGAAATGCAGGGACCGGGTGTCGAGCAAGGACATGTACACAGTCAGTGATTGATATGAGGTGAAGAGGACCGGGCTGCAGACACTGGGATACACTCCTGGGCTGGTCGGGTAGGATAATACTGAAGATAACAGAAATGTAAACATACGGTAAGTAGAGAACTGTGTATCGACCTGCAGGTTGTGGTGGAGAAGAGTGTAGGAGGTCCGTGGTCCGAAGGAGCAACTAAGGCGAGGAGGGATAAATCCAAGCAGCTGGAGAGAAGGAGGCAAGACAAAACTAACATAGAGTCAAAGGAACAATGGGTAACAAACGGGCCTGATAAATGCTGGAAAGAACTGGCAGGGGAGTGAACGAAGAGCAGGGACTAAATAGGGAGAAACGAATCAGGTGCAGCTGGTGGTAATCTGGGGTTAAGAAACAGGTGTAAAGGAAAACGTGATCAGGGTTAGGGAGTGAAAACAGAGAGAGGGGAGTGAGAAAGTAGGTGCAGCCGGGCAAACCTGACAAACACGCCTCACAGTAGTACTCATCTAGTCACTACATGAAAATGAGCAAATGTTACTGAACTCTCCTCATCAAGCTTTAACAAGAGCAATTTCAACTCACCAAAGTGGCAGAAAATCAGACAGTAAAAGTCAGTGGGCTTTGCAGACACTCAGCTCTGTGAATTATTAACAAGGGTCATGACTTTTGACACATTCAGAGAAAAATCCGTTCAGACTGTGGGTTGGTACATTCAGGTTACAGGAGGACAACGTGATTCACTGTATCCAAATCATTTAGCAGTATGCAAAACTTTGTGCTACCCTGTCACTTGCAGGCCGTAATTTATTTCCGGTTGGAAAAGGGCTCTAAGAAATTTGGCCTTTTATTCCCTAATTCTTGCTCCTTGCATTACGATGCATTCAGCACCTCACTGTTTCAGAATGTGAAAACAAGCAACCTTAGTGAACTTAAATAAAGGATGAGAAACTGAACAAATGTGTTTTTTGTCTTTATTGAGTACACAGCCAATGATCTATCATCCTACTCTAAGGAGAGCGCTCTGCCCCAGCTCAGGCCATGAGCTACTTTAAAGACTTAGATAAGAGAGGCCCTCTGCATGATCAGGAACCATGGGTCAAGTTACAATGTCTTATTTTATATAACACTCACACACACAGAGCATTCAGTATGCAGGCTCAGACCTTAAGAGAGAAAATAAACTATTAATTATAAGAAAAACACATTATTACACCCCAATTAATAAATGAGATACTTATATGATAATCAAACTCAGCTCTTTGTTTGACCATTACAAGGAATGTTGTGATTATCATTACTGTATGTTATGTCAGTACTGAAGTACGAAGTGGGCACTATGCCTCATTTACTTACTGAATAAACATTTCACAGAACATTTATCTCCTCCTTTTCTCCTGTTTATGTCAAATTCTCTGTTTCCCATCAGTACTAACATTCCCCTTTTTAGGAAATGCTTATTCAGTAAGATATTCATATCCAAAACAGGACATGACCTCCCGGTCATAAATACTAGTCTCCATGGTGTTTATGCTCCAGCACACAAACACCTCTCACAGTTTACAACAGTTTACAAAGTAAAGGGCAGAGCTTGCAGGAGTAAGGCAAGCATCTCACTCATATTGTGATCTATAACTATTAACTACATGTGTAATATATATGTATTTAATGTATACACTCCTATTGTACTTTATTATATGTTAACTATACTTGCTTTAACCACTACAATACAGGCAAAGGTGAGAAATTTGACTGTGAGATGATCCCAGTGGCCTTGAGTGAAGGAGAGAGCTTATCAGTCTGTTACTTGGACGGCTGTCTAGACTGAATGTAAGCACTGGGGCACCTGCTGCACTCGAGAGATGGAAAGATAGAAAGAACCTTTTTTTGATGTTATGTGGAGAATCATTAATTTTTCTTATTTGTTTAACAACTGACAGTTCAGAGGCCATTAGTCTGTCTGGTGACTTCAATATGTCATCTGAGGACGCCTGCCTGGCACAGTGGCACCAAATTAATATTGTCTAAGTGTCATCTTTATTACAGATTAATGTGTCTGCTTGCCACTTCTTGATGGGTTGGACATATTTATATGACAGATTAACATGTTGCATGTCACTTCATGTCACCTTAAGGGTGTTTCTGCCATGTTTATGATGTCTGGATGGTTTGTACTGTACCATTCATCAGATACATGTCAAGAAGGTATTGTTTGCTCATTTGTAATGTCAGTCTTGTAACCTAGCCTTGAACCTGAAGGAGTCAGCATGACTTCCATTTGCCTGGTGAGGTCATTTTTATTTTTTTTTAGAAACCTATATTGACCAATGAAATAATAGTATACAGTAGGTCAGAGAGAAGGGTGGGATGATACAAGCCACAGGCAAGGAGGAGCTATAGAGGGAGCTATAGAGGGTATAATAGGGATGTCTTGAGCTCTGCAGCACTTCTGCTCCATGGACCAGAAACAGATGCTATTGGGGTGTTTTTGATTTTTTTACCCCCCAAAAATCTTATATTTTGCAACAGACTGTTTAGACTTTGACTTTTGACAGCAGCTAGAGAACTGTGTGGGTGAGAGCTGGACCAGGGAAAAGCTCTCCCACATCACATCTATCACAGGGCTGACACTTAAGAGACACACAACCACACACCTAAAGGGAATTTAGAGTGCTGTGTAAATGCAAGTTCAGTCACACACAGAGGGGTGCCCCGCCTGATTATAAATATTATAAATAAATGTGAGACTCTATACTACCCTCTGGTGCAACTATATTCATGCCGGGAACTTGCTGATCATAGTAAAACCCAGAAAATCAAATAAGCGTGAGGAGCAACAATCCCTTAACGCCCTAAAAGTGGCTGAGGTGTTTCTTTTAGACTACATCATATATAATGACGAGTTATACTTTCTTCAATGGTATGGTTAATGCCAACATGATAAATGAAGTACATGAAACTATATGGAAACCAAACACAAGTAGTTCAAACTATAAGTAAGAAAACTAAGGACTACCATAATAAAGCAATCAACCTCATGACCTCCCGTGATCTGAAAAACAATTAGATTTCATACCTTATAAAACACAGAAAACCAAAGGATTCTGTGCCAAAAATTAAATGGATGCATCAAAAGTAATCAAAATTACAGATATAATGTAAAACATGAAATAATGAAACTATGATCATGGGTATAATTCACATGTAAAGTATTTCAGTAGGTGTCACAAAGTAGCTCATTTTCAAATGATGCTGTTCACCTCCTGAATGAACAAACTGTTGTTAGCAGCATTTATTGGCCATTGTATTCAGTTCTCTTTTATGGCCCCAGGTTCCAGGAAGACACAGGACAGGAAAACTGCAACGAAACGATGTTGTATTGCGAGAAATGACATCAGGTTTCACATGGTTCAGAATTCACAGCAAGAGTCACCAATCAACCTCAGCTGCATGTCTTTGGACTGTGGAAGAAAGCCGGAGTAGGCAAGAGAGAACCCACGCAGGCACAGGGAGAACATGCAAACCCTAGGCAGAAAGACAGTGGGTGGGCTGGGACTTGAGCCTGGAACCTTCTTGCTGTGAGGTGACAGCTCTAACCACTGTTTCACCTGGAACACACATTTTGATCTTCATTTTTACAGTGTATTCACATTCCAAGTGTCATGTCAGTGGAGAGATGAGGACGTTCACATTTGTTGGATTGGAAATTGGAAGGAACATGTTGTAACCAGGCAATTTAGGAGGCTGAAATATACTAGGATATCAGGTTGTGCAGACAGTGAGGTGCATTTCAAACTTCCAATTTCATTATGATAATAACCAAGATGCATGAGGTTTTCTGGTTCAATTATCTGTACAACCATGACTATTGTGGTGGTGGGAACGGGGCAGGACCCAATAAAGATGTCTGGAGACCAGAGAGTAGCTTCAGAGAATTCTTTATTTCATGCAGCATGGAAAGAAGTCATACACAGCTTTGTAGTCTGCACAGAGTTCTCTGATTAACTGATAAAGGGGCAGTCCCTTTATACCAAAATAATACAATACACATCAATGAATCTCATAACATTATCTCACATCCAACAACTCTCATACTTTCTCCAGCTACCATTGCAACATTATAAGTACAATAAGACCTTGAAACTTGGTGAGAGGTCCTGTGGAATATTAAGTTGTCTGAGACATTGTAACTGAAGCACCAGCACCGTTTTCTATGTACTTATAAGGAATATAACCTTCCTTAGTGAGAAGCATCAGCACTGTTTCATATAATTGAACTGAACAAGAATGTAACCTTCAACCATGTTTTAATCAGTTGCAATGTGTGTTCACTCTAAACTGAAATGTACTTTTGGGAGTAGTGCTTAGCACTGCTTCACATGAAGGGAGTCACAGGAGAAAGCAAATGATTGAAAACAGTGGACATAAAGATGTCTGGTTACACTCCACTGTTTATACTTAATGAACTGATAAGGATAAGTTTTAGCTTTCTCAGCATTACTGAGTGTTCATGTAATCATTATGTGTATGTGTGCTTTTGATCACAGGAAAGTACCTTAGTTTTAGGGAGGAAGACTTAAGTGTCATGAGAAAAGCACTGTGTATGGTGGGAGAGAACTTTAGCTAAGTATTGATTGATCTCAGCTGCATCCTAAGGAATGTAAGGAGGCGGGAAGAATAGTATATAACACACAGTGTTGGAGATGTAAGATCAGATCATCTTGGCTGATCTCCAGATGTGCATCTGTGAATAAAGGTAATTAAGTGCACTTTGATATTTGTGTGACTAAATATTCTTTCCATCATCTGGAACCTGATGAGAAGTGGTACACTTCGTCAGACGCTTCCAATAAAACACGAGGGGTGTCTGTTAGGTTATTTCTTAGTTAGATAGATATTCAGAGATTTGTTGTCTAGAAATGTTTAATGGAGACAGGTTGTCTAGCTCAGGCGGTTAACTGTTCAGTTTAATGTGCTTGCAGTACAGACTGCATGTAGGCCAAGGTTGCAGGCAAAGAGCTGTTAGTATTAACTGTAATGCTAATCTTAATATTTGTCTTAATGTGTAATGTCATGTCAAATTGTTCTAGATACACACCACAAAAACAACAGCCACACACCTTGACTTTTCCTCATGTTTTGACTAACGTTATGGTCAGCTGCAAGCTGGCATATCAGGTGACGTCACGGTTTGACGCCCTGCGTAGTATGGGGCTAGCCCAAAATGATTAAAATTATATAGGTTTCTTGGTTCAGGGTCTTTCATCTTCCAAGCTGCCTGCGCGCAGGTTGATGGTGGAAGAGATCTGGACGTGTAATGTTAATTTTACCTGTGATCCTCTGAAAAAACCAGTACGGTTATTTTTTATAAAATCTAAAGCGGTCTGTTTCGTCTTATTGTGAGTTCCTGGTTTAAAAGAGCCGGAAGAGGCTTCATAGAGAAATAGAAGCTTATAGTGTCCGACCTTCTCACGATGCACGGAAATCTTCAAACTATGCAAACCTAACTGATAAGCTGTTCAAAATTAATTCAAGCTGACTGATAAGCAGTGCAAAATGATTACAGGTCCTGGGACCATTAGATTTGCAAGTTTCAGACTATGTCCATAAAAAACAATCATCAGTTTTCTGTGTGAAATGACCTTTTAACATTATGATGTACCAATGTCCGCTATGCTGACAGCCACACTATGAATAGACATAATAAAAAGGGGAAGCGAGCCACTCACACTACAGAATGTTGTGCTGCGCCACTTGTTCTTTCCACAACTTCCAATACACGGTAAATTAAAGTTTAACCTCAACTGTACAGACATGTGAAGTCCGTTTGCCTGTTGCAGGATGACCCAGTCGTCGATGGGAGGGAGGAGTCGCATATTCCGGTGCTGAGAGGAAAATCGCGGCTGAACCCGGACTGTCGTTTTAATAGTGGGGAAGTTTTACCTCGGAAAAGAGGAAGCGGTTTTTGAGGAGTTTGTTTTCATTTGGTCTCCAACACGATGTTGACCGCTACACACCAGAGTACCCTACTTTTTTTTCCTGCAGTTTGTTAAATAATTTTGCCGCCTTGCATTCACTTCCCGCCTGGAGATAAGTGTTTTTAGTTTGTTCACGGAGCAAGAACTTTTGACCATGGAGCACTACAGCCTGCGATGCCAGGTGGGTGAATCTACACTAGTCAGTCCGGCTGGACTTGTTCATTTTGTCTGTGTATTAGTAGGCCATTTGGGGGATTTTTGTTGCACTATTGTTAAAAGTAAAGAAAATTCTCAGTTAGCCTTTTTTTTCTTGTTTGTTGTCAGTTAGCTCTTCGATACTGATGTGTCTATTCCGACTTAAAACGGCCAGTTTTCAAAGTAAACGGTGAGCGGCAGTAACTAGCGACAATGTTGTGCAGTAGGGGTGGGCGGATCGATCCTTAAGTATCGATACATCGATTCTAGGCGTTGTATCGGTAAGGATCGATCCTCACATAAAAATATCGATATTAAGGGTTTTTAAAATTTATTTAGCATGAAATATATTTAAAACGAGCTTGTATAGAACTCTGTCTCTTATGCAGCTCCTTTCACATGCACATTGTTCACCCCTCCCTGCTTTGCTGTGTTTCGTTGTCCTACCGTCACGTGACTCAGCAGCGCCATATCCAAGCAAGCAGAGTCTTTTAGCTGCAGTGCCAGTGAGTGAGAGGTGGTATCAAAGGAGTGTTGTGTGGAAGTATTTTACAACCTTTAATGAAAACACAGCGAATTGTGATATATGTAAGAAGGCCATTCGCTACTGTGGCAACACAACTAATTTGCACAAACACATTAAACAACATGAAAAAGAGAACAACGAACTGCAAAAGCAAAGAAGAGAGGAGGGAAATCCTCCAGACAGACCCCCGGCAGTGAGACAGACGTCACTGGCAGAGTCATTTGAGCTTCAGAGAGGCAAAGAATATCCAGGTAGCTAACATCGGTGAAAATATGTTTTTGTATGGTGTCCGAGTATGGGACATCATACTTGGTCACCGGTCACGTCCTTTCCTTTAAATACAGTTATTCATTGATTGTTCATGTTAGTCACAGTGCATGTTAACAAATAAAACTTTAAATTTTAAATAATGTATTAGTATAAGTAAGATGGATAAATGCAGTAGAAGTATTGTTCATGCTTAGTTCAACTAATACTGTTAACTAATGTTTACTAATGAACCTTAGTGTAAAGTGTTACCTGAAAAAATATATAGGAGCCTTGCTGAAATGATCGCAAAGGACCCGCAACCACTCTCTCTGTCGTTGAAGATGAGGGTTTTAGGAATTTTGCTTGGTATTTTTGTTTAGTTATTTGCACTTTAATCACTTTATTTTTTCACAAACAATTGTGTGCACTTTGTTTATAAGCGAAGACAGTGTGCGAAAAGGGAAATTATTTAATCTGTTATATTAGTGAGTCTTAACAAAACAGCTGCTTTGTTTTCTAGTAATAATTTAGTGCACTTTATGTTTTGTTAAAGCCAGTTAAGTACTGTTAAAGGGAGAATTTTGTTTTGTTACTATATTATTCTTTAATGTATTTTAATTTATAGTATTATTCTGTTTTTCTGTTCTTAATGCTATTACTATTCTCGATAATTTCATGCACAGTTCATGTTTGCAAATTGAGTTTATTATAATAATATATTGTTTTCATATTTGAAATATGTCCTGTTTTTTTTTTACCTGACACATGACTAATTACAGGCACACTAAGAGCAAATCACAACATCTTTTAATGGTTATGAAAATGCATTCAGATTTAGCATAATAATTATGCAATCACTTCATAAATTTGAAGTTAAACACTGATATCCCCTATACAAGAAAGTGAATGTAATTTATATTGTGTGCTTTAAAAAAAATATCGGTATCGGTATCGGTGATATTGGCCCTGTATTTACTTGGTATCGGATCGATACCAAATTTTACAATATCGCCCACCTCTATTGTGCAGCGCGTAGAATCTCGCGTGCATATGGACAGAAAATCACGTTCTTCTCTACACATGCGCATTAGAAGCGCTTGGTGTTTAAGCTCAGTGGGGAAGTTGCACTTCAAGTCCAAACAAGTCCAAATCTCTGATAGTTAGTAAACAATGAAGGAATTACTGGCTAAACATGAAATGTATAAGTACAGTGAATCCAGCCCGTGGTAAAACACAGGAAATACAAACTACACACACTTCTAAAAGAACTGTGCTCAGTACTAACAGACATTCTTCTGGTTTTATTACTTGTTGCTGGTTTATATTTGGAGAAGCATAAATATTGCGCTTTACCTGGAAGATTGTAAGAAAAGAGTGTGAGAGAGAGAAAATGTAAAACTTTAATAGAAAGTTTTGTTTTTATTACAGTTTAATTTTTCATTTTAAAAAGGTGCAAAAATGTCTTTGCATGCTGTCAATTACAATTCTTAGAAAGAAAATCTGAATCTTAAAGAAAATTAAAATCGGTACATCTCTACTAACAACTTGAACAACAGCCATCATTCTGAAAAAAAAAAAATCTAAACTGCTCAGAGCAAAACTGGTAAATTGATTATACAAAGCTCATTCCAGCATGATACCCCCTCATGACTATCTGAACTAGCATGTGGTAGGTAATTCCAGAAATGAATGAATTCTACTACTGCCATAATGCTACTTAATATAGCCCAATCATTAATTAACTAGAGCTACTGGTTGAGTTGTACATCTGAGGCTCATTCATAAAAGTTACAGAAACACAAACCCGGGTGGCTCCCTCCCTCAGACAAGCTGCTGGAGAAGAGAGACCCCGGAAACATAGAGCCTAATACATTTATAAGGTTTTGGGCTAACCCCTTACACAAAAAGATATAAAAACATCAGGAGTTGGAGACAGTCCGACGTCTCCTTCTCTTATCTAGAGCTCCACATGCTTGGAGCAGCTGGACATAACAAAATGAAGAATTCCATGTGTGTGTATGTTGTTTTCGTGATGTATAACTAAAACATTCATTCAGACATAATTCTTACACAAGATTAATACAAGAAAACAATTGGTGTCAAGGTACACTTTTCAGAATCAACATTATCTTCTAACCTTGAAGCAGAGCAAACTAGAGCAGACTTTGAATCTTACTAAACTACATTACTAACACATTAAAGTCTAATAATTATCTGACTAATTTATTAATTTCTAACACCGGAAAGCAGGTTTAACAAACTCTGAAGTGAACACTGACCTCTGAGTTGAGATGAAAATAGTGGGCTTTTGTATCCAGAACAGCTGTTCAGATTCAGTCTAACATGGAGTGTGTTCAGTCTGAAATAAGTGCACGATGATTAATAAAGCCATCATCAGTGAAACTCCAATACTACAGTTCACCATGGCAGCAGGTAAATAAATAGCAGAGGTGCCATTTCAATCCAGTGGACCTAGAAATATTGTGTGATATTGACCATTTGTTAAAAAAACAGCAGCAGTGAGAGAGCCTGAGTTAGAGAACAGAGTCAAAACAGTGTTCCATTTTAGTAAGCGTAATCCACTCATTCTTTTGTTTAGCAGATGTGGATTTCTTTAATGGATGGTAAAGTGCTGGAATTTATTTATTTATTCAGCTATCAGATGACGAGGACACTGTGCTGCTGACAGTGGAAGATGAAATCAAACCAATAGGATGCAAGTTTATTTATAGACCTCTGATAGGAACCTCATGTGGTGACTGCAGTCTCTCTCCATACAATGACAACCAACTGATCATAAACATGGAAACATTAGTAAAGATAGGTGTTGGTTAACAAATGAATACGCTACTATCAGGAGGGAGGACACAGAGAGCAACTCTGGGTGGGCAGGTTTGATTGACAGAGGAAGTTACGACTGACTCAGACTTAACGTTCTGTTTCTGGAGCTGCAACCTCAGAGTTTTGCTCAAATCAGGGTGAATGAACTCAGAGTTTTTACTAAACGTACTTTCTGGAATAGCCCCCTGCACTGGAAGATGCCACAGGTTGGCCAGCGAGATGATGAAAAATTCAGCCCACCATTTAAATTTCGAAAGTGACATATATTGAAGGGAAAAAGCAAAATAACAAGATATCAGTTTTAGAGCGCTTGCAATGCTTTTAGCTGTTTACATAATTTTATTATTTATAAACTGTTTCACTCCCCACCTAAAGTTTAACACTAATTATTCACTATAACCTTAAGATTCATTTTAGAACATGATGTTCCCTTATGTTTTGGACACTCGGGTGAAGAGAGGGGCTGAGCTGTCAACTGATCATCACCTTGTGGTGAGTTAGATTCAATGGCGGGGGAAAAAGCTGGACAGACCTGGCAGGCCCAAACCCGAGGGAGACTGGAGTCAGAATGGACTATGTTTCACACCTCCGTTGTCAGGGTGGCTGCTGGGAGCTGTGGCCGTAAGGTCTCCAGTGCCTGTCGCGGCGGCAATCCCCGAACTCAGCGGTGGACACTGCAAGTAAGGGATGCCGTCAAGCTGAAGAAGGAGCTCTATCTGGCCTGGTTGGCTCATGGGACTCCTGAAGCATCTGGCAGGTACCAACAGGCCAAGCGGGACACAGCTCTGGCAGTCATCATGGCAAAAACTCAGGCCTGGGAGGAGTTCGGTGAGGCCATGGAGGAAGACTTTCAGTTGGCTTCAAAGAGATTCTGGAGAACTGTCCAGCAGCTCAGGAGGGGGAAGCAGTGTTCTGCCAACACTGTTTACAGTGGAGGTGCTGTGCTGCTGACCTCAACCAAGGATGTCATCAGCGGGTGGAAGGATTACTTTGAAGATCTCCTCAATCCCCCGACATGCCTTCCGTAAAGGATTGTTAGAAAATAACCCAATTCTTTTGTTGGAAGCACGAGAAGTGAAGACAGGAGAGGACTGTTTAAAATCAATAGAAAGTTTACTGAAAGTCTGGGCACAGGAAAGTCTTACAGCGCTGGGATCAGAGAGACAGAGCTCCCGAGAATTCCATTCTCTGAACCCCGAATTAAGTTCTTACAATACATTTTATCTTCTTGGACTGCTCCGCCCTGGACAGGGCTGCAACCTTCAATAGTTCGTGATCCTATTGGTCATTTGGTGTGAGCTGGAGCACACACTTCCATGTTGAAATATGATAAATCTAGGTATGTGTGTGTCTCAGGTGGCAGCTTGGTC